GGCCCGGCGCCTCCCGCGCGGCCGCGGCGCCTCCGCGCCGCTGCTCGGGGGCGGAGCGGCGCCCACCAGTTGAACGCGGGAGCGCCGGGAAGGGGCTTAACCAGGGGCGGGCAGCGGGAGCCCGGAGCGCGGCCCCGTCCCCAGGGCAGCTCGGCTGCATCGGGAGCAGAGGGGGACGGGGCGGAGGGAGGGAGCCCCCAGGCAGAGGTCAGGCTTGGGCGCAGCCTTGGGAAGCAGCATCCTCTAGGAAATTCCCTGCCTCCTCTTCTGCTCCATGAGTCAGGCCCAAGCCTCCTCTTTTAGAGGCTGCATCTAGTATTTATAAACAGTTGGTTAAATACCATATGCTTTGTGTGTCGTGCTGCCTACTGCTATTCAGAAATGACTACACTCACTCAACTGATTGTCATAAAATTATTTTTCTATCAATAATGCACATACTTGSTACATAGTGCCTAGGGGATGAGGAAGTACTGGAGTTTGATCCTCTTGCAGAGAATGGTGCCCTTCAATTCAGCTGTGGTTGGCCTGTGTGCTGGGGCACACTCTGTAGGGCAGGAAAGGGTTAAAGCCCCAAATGAGAAATGAGCTGCACCTGAGGCCAGGCTGGAGGTGAAGAGGGAAGCAGAGTTCTCAGGTGGATGGGAAGTGTGAGGTAGAGTAGTAGAAGGTAGGTGGCTGGGGTGGTTTTCTTCCTCTGGTGAAGGTTTGTTTTGCTTTGCAGGTAGCTGAGGCTTGTGGGTGCTATAAGGGGGTAAGCTGAGAGCTGGCTGCTCTCTTAGGTGTTTTGACTTCATAGGGTGGGATTAAATCTCATGCCTGAAAAAAGAGAGCCCAAGATGAGTGTGGGATGAGAGTACTTCAGTGTGTGTTTAAGAAGAAGGGATTTGAATGCTTGAGGAATAGATGGCACTGTTCTTAAAGGTCTGTGTGGCTGCTGGGCTTAAGAGGGTTTTTTTTTTGTCTAATATCTCTCCTGTGCTGTATCTGTACGAATATTAGGCTACAGCTGTGGGAAGTGTATGAGGGGTAATCCTGGAGCCACTAGGAAAGCAATGCTTGACTTGGTTAGTGGGAGTGAAGAGGAGGAAGAAGCAGGAATCCAGGTGTGTGCTGTCGTGGTTGAACAGGGCCAGTGGTCTGAGAGGCTCACAGTCCCCTGCCACCCTGGTTCACAGCTGCATAAGGGAAAATACTGCTGTGTGATCAAGGGCTTATGTGGCTCACAAATTTTCCTATTATTGGCTCTGGCAAGCTTTCTGCTTTTTCTCTTTAAATTCTAGTATGTGTGTATATATAAATACTAGTTATGAGTGYAAAATGCTTAGAAGAATATGTAAGAAATGGGAACTTGAGTGACTGGTACTGAGGTTTTTTTGAGTTGATGGTTTTTATAGGCAGCTTTGTTCTTGAGGTTGGTTATTTATTATTTGCAGGAGGCCTTAATGTTTTTAGGATGAAGGTAACTAGAAAATAGAATTGCTTTCACCTGGGCTTTTTACTTGATACCAGCTGCAAGAGGTTATCTCTGGAAGCTTGTTACCCTTAAATAAGGGACAAGTGATACCAACCTTTTGAGACTGTCTCACAAAGCTTGCAGAGCTGTTCTTGGATGCCCTTAACAAGACAAAGGGAGGCTTAGTGATTTTGAGATTTGTTTGAAATCCTGTGATCAGTATTAAATAGCATAATGAAGAAAGAAGAAAAGGGGCAGTGGTGCATTTTCATTATGGTATTTATAAAAGCTTAAGGCATCTTTTATATGCATTTGCATACCACTTGATGGCTTTTCTGTAGAGTTTTAAAACATAACGCACCAAATCAGTGTTTAGCAGTGCAGATGACAGCTTTGTTCCTCATTCTTCAGGAGGCCTGTAAGCTGCTGGTGTGCCAGGATTAGTAAAAGGACAGTGAAGAGCTTTGAGTGGTAGGTAGGCTGTGTCTTTACAGCAGATCCTGAAGGAAGAGCGGAATGCCTATGTTAAGCAGAAAAAAAGCCGTACTAAAGTCTATTAAATACTATCAAATGTCACTAAAAAGCTGTGTTGTAGCATAGGATTAGCCATATTCATATGATACCTGGTTGTCCTGATACAGTTGAGGCTCAGCTACTTCTGTAAAAAGTGAGCTGAAAGGAGATTGATAATGAGCATGAGTGGCCTGAATGAAGGTATAAGGAAAAGGTTTTCAGCTGCTTGAAGTCTAGCAGTTCATCAGTCAGGACCTTTCTCTCTCTTCTGTTTTGTGTTTGGATAAAGCTTTGCTGCCTCAGGAAGGAAAATAAGAGAAGTTCCAAGTAGTAGATACTGCATAGACTGCAACGTGAATGCAAGCTGTTTCATATCCTGGATCACTTYCATCATCCTTTTTTAGTAGATAGTTCTACTCTTTCTGATTTCATATGGATCCTCTTCTTAYTAGAAAGGACTCTGGGTGCTGTGGCTCTTCTCAAATGTTTAAAGAAAGCTTCCCTCAAAATCAGAACAGGGAAAAATGCATCATCTCTGATTATGATTTGATTAATTCTAATTTTGACAATTCTCTTGACAGGTTTTATAAATATTAGTGGAGGGGGAAAAAAGCATTAGTGAATAATTCAAGTCTAGGGAATGAAGTAAGCTGATGAACTRTTTTGTTACCAAGTTTGTGGTCTGAGGTTTTGTTATTGATTGCTCGCAGAAATTCAGAATTGTTTTTCCCTAGTCAGGGATCTTTATCACTTTTTGGATCCTTTTCTTTTGTATAGTTTTTCTGTCTCTTAATGCCACCTTGCCCCCTGGCTGCTTTTGCAAGTAAATACGTGAGGAAGGCTCCATCTGCTACAAAGGGAGCCACAGGCCCTGTGCTATACTGAGTTCCTTTTGAGCTGTAGCTCTGCACATATCAGTGCAAGTCCAAACCAGAATTAGACTCTGGAGTATTGAAGAGAGTTCAGCGAAACCTCATGCAGTGAGTGTGCATGAGTACCAAGTAAGCTTTTCTGACTTCTGTTTTTTTTTTTGTTTTGTTTTCTCCCCTCTAGCATGTTATTTATGACACTTTTCCTTGCTGTTTGCCTGTTAGTTGGTGCTGCTTTGGGTACTGAAGTTTTTAATCCCTTGATTATACAGGGAAGCATAGTATGGAAGAAAGGAATTGGTATCCCGGACAGAAGCAACCAGAGTAAATCTTCAGCTTTACCTTGTAGGTTAAGGATGGATTAAGAGCAAAAATATCATCTGTGTTTAGTGCTAATGTGTTTTTTAAACTGCACTATAAGTGTAGCTAGTTTAGAGATATAATCTTATCTTTTTTTGATACTGGTTAGTTGTTATTAGCTAAAGAGCAAAAAGGCAAAAGTGATGGCATCCTTTGACCTTTAAATTCCTTGATGGACTGTTATTTAGTTAAAAAGGAATATGCTGAAAAGACTATTTTACATTAACGTGGTCCACTACTACACTGTCCTTTTGTGAGGCACTGTTTCTAGCATCCTGCCTTAGTGTGCTGAAGGATCCAAGCACTTAAGGAAATAGAGAACCTGATATTGAAAACAAGTCTCCTGGAAATGAGATCTTAATCATTCAAGATCTATCCCTGAAGTTTGTTATTTCCATTTATATGTTCATGGGAATTAGAAAATGACAACAAAGGAGTTGGTCTGATGCTGTATGCACCTCCAGTCAAAAAGTTATTTGCATCATTTTTGTTTGAATTTATAAATGCACAAAAAAGTAGAGCTCACCTTTTGAAAGATAGAATGATAATATAATGAAGGGTAGTGAAGATGCCTTGCTCAGAGCAGGGGAAAAAAACAAGGTAATAGTCTACATAATATTCAGGGCTGAACCAGGTTTATATGTCTAAAATCAATTGAGTAAAGTGCCTTTAAAGCAGGTGTTTATTTTCTGCTGTTTTTTTTTCCAAAAGCAGAATCATCTGGGGCAAAAATGGGATTTAAAATTGGTATCATACAGTCTAGCATATAGGAGCCTTTCTATAATTGACTGTTACTGATAGTCTCACTCAGTGGTGCAGTTTATATAAGTAAATATGTAAGAGCTTAGTCATTATGTAGATTGCAGGAAAGTTGTACTAATGTGTTTTCACTCAGCTGCTCACAGCTACATACTAATACTTTTTAATCAAGAGGGAAAAAAATGTGGATTTCTGGTTTATAGCTTGAGTGACTTTTAAGAGAATGCTAAGAGAGAAGAGATCTTTCAATGTGAAAGTAATCCCTTGTCTTTGAATGTTAGAAGGCTATAGAAAATCCCACTGGAGGGGGGAATACTTYTTTGATAACAGACTAAATGCTGTGGAAATGGTAGCTGTTGCCAGTGCCTCTATAGTGCTGGCCTCTGAGAGGTAGTTAATTTAGAAAACGTTTTTGATGAAGTACTGCTAGATCAGATGTGATCAGCTTATAGAGTGTGAGTACTGAGCTATTCTTAAGCTTTGTCAAAGGGCAGTACTTTCTTGCCTAACTGAGGCTTTTGATGTTACTTTCTCTTAAATAAGAGAACTTTATCTTAGAAATGGAAGGCCAGCAGTTATTACACTATGCAGAATGACAGGAGCCAGGGCCTAGTTCAAGTCTGTYGAAGGCAAAGGAGTTTTATATGTGTCTTGCACATCTCCCTTCTCAGCAGACTAACAAAGAATTTCTTTTTCTGTTGCAGCTGAAACATCAGGTGAATAAATGAACTGTCCTGCTGTATCAGATACTTTTGAGGGGAAGAAAGGTAAGCTATTTCTTTGAAGTAGCCATAACTTAAGCTGAAGTGACTAAGGTCATATGTTTAAAGGGGTTTCTTGGAGTCTTGCTGCTAACACAATGATAAACGCTTCGATTGGAAGAGTAGTGTTTTTTCTTTTCCTTTTTTTTTTTAATTTTTAATAGCACATCTTTGTAATGCTGAGGACA